AATGGTAAGCAGATTATAATAAATAATAATGCAGATTAATACAGTCGATACATATTACTGTATTAAGGGTATGCTTAAGTTAAAAAAAACTCTACCCTCACTTCATTATAAATGTTTTAAATGAATGAATGAATGCAAAAAAATAAATAAATATATATAAAAAAAAAGAAACGATGTAAAAAGTAGTGCTGTTTTGAATGCAAAAAAAAAAATACATGCAAATGATGTATGATTTTTTTATAAAAAAAAAAAAAAAAGGTATCAAATTATACCAAACATTTTATCCAATTTTTCCAATTATCCCAACAAACCCTAAAAATTAATATAATGAACATTCCACACGCAATCCAACTCATTAATATCATCCAACTCTTCAATATCCAAAATACCATCGTTAAATATGCGATTACAAATGCAACTCTTATTCCAATAGAATAAATTGAGTGAAGTGAAGATTCGAGCTGAGAGTTTTCATCCAAATCAAGTTGAAAAATTGAGGTGAATATAGGTGAAACATAAGTATCGAGTATTTGTAAGGTAGAAGCAAAATATTTGTTCGAAGAACTTGGAAGAGTGAACATTTTGAGTAAGGATAAGATTAGCGAAAGAGCACAAATGAATATAAATGGAACATCTTTTTCGTTTTCTGCATTGTTTATAGATGATGACAATGATGCACGTGATGATGATGAAAGTCTTGCAGCCGATAATGCCTGTGAATTATGATGTGAGAGTGACGATCGTGATGAATTTAAGGCAAGTGGAATTGAACTATGATGCATCAAATAATGTTCTCTGAACTCGATTAGATCGTATAACGTTACATTGCACTCTACACATGAAGGATGCCCGCGAAAATTTGAATCTTTGCCATCACCATTTCGGAAATGCCTTTTTAATTCTTCTTTAGTAAATAATTTATGTTCCCATGAAAAGATTTTTCGATGTTCCACACAAATACCACTAAATTAATAAATTAATAAATAAATAATATAATAGTTAGAATATTTAATTCTAATTATATTATTAAATATATATATATATATATATATATATATTATTATTAAAAATTATCAATTAATAATAACTCACCAAAACATTAATTTATGAGCAGTACGAACGTGTTGATAAAGTTCAGGCCAGCCATCATCACAAGCAACTTGACATGATTTTAATGGGCAACGAAGCCTTATCGTATTTGTAACCATTCGATAAATTGATTCATCCTCACATAAAATTTGAAAATCAGAAATAATATACCATGCTTTTGATGATAGTAATGTTGAAAACGAAGTATCAGAATCATGTGTAAATATTATTTTGGTTTGTTGAGCCTATTAAAGTCAAATTATTAAAGAATGATTAAATAATCTATAGTAAAAAAAATTAAAAAAAATTAAAAAAAATATTGTGTGGAAAAAAAAAGCTTACTCTACAATAAGGGCAAGTATTGGTTTCAAATAAAACTCTGGATCTCAAAGCACACAAGTAACAAATTCTGTGATTACACTGAGAAACAGCATAAACACTTATATGTTCTGTGCATATAGAACAATAATCTACCATGGTTTTGTCGTCGTTACATTTATTTTCTACTTTACATAAATCCTTGGTAACATGTTGACTATCTATTGACGATATTCGACGGTTCGTGATACGCAAAGGTGTCATGGTAGATGAATGAGAATTTGTTGTTGTGGTTTTTATTTTATTGATATTTGAAGGTATCGATGGCAATAATTCCGGTGACAGAAGCATTGTATCATTCTTAGAATCAATGCAAGATATGTTGCTACACATTCTTATTTTTAATAATTATATTTTTATATGAAAATTTTTGAGTCGAAAAAAAAAAAAAATTGAGAAAAATAAATTGAAAAAAAATTGAAATAGTTTTTTTAAATAATGGATGAGTTGCTAAATTGCTTTTTTGTCTTAAAAGGTCGTTATATATAAAAATTTCAAATGTTATGCAATACTTTTTATCCAAATATGTATAACAAATGCAAAGCGCATAATATAAAAATAACAAAAGTATATAAAATTAAAAAATCTCCAATATTAAATAAGTCACAGACTCCAAGGAGACTTTTTTTTTTTAATGATTGCCATGCTGAACTAGAAAAATTACGTATCTGTATATAAGGAAACCAAGTCGGCTGGCATGTTATTTGGATGATCAATTGATATATTTGGCCTTCGCATGCTTCAACTTTATTAAATATTAAACAGAAAATATATACTAATTTGTAGCTATTGATATATTGTGCTACTATTCTATAAATTAAACTAGCCAATAAATTTTTGACAAGTTTTTGTAAAATTAGTGATAAGATTTTTCTAAAAGTTTCATAATATTAAATATTGTTTTAACGAATATCACATACGTATTATTTTGACGATTATTTGGCTATTGTTTAAATAAATCAGTGTTTATTTAACTTCATATTGCTTTTTTGTTTTCATAAAATTTTTTTCATACGGCTCATTATATCCGAAACTCACATGATTTATATCAAAAAAACTGATCGATAACCTTTTAAGTTAAAATCTACAAAGTTATCGGTCTGTGTTTCCATATAATCAGTTTGAAAAAATAAAAACGAATCAATGATATAATATTATTTAACATCTTACATCACAAATAACTTTAATTTTAATGGATATTTCGCTTCACGGAGTATGTTTACTGACTTCAGGGATAATGATCTTGTGATTTTAAGGAATGACCGTATACTGTATACTGTATAGTATACAGTATACAGTATACAGTGTATACTGTATACTGTTTACTGTTATAAGGAGAAACGAAAGGGCTGAATCCATTTTGCATGTACGTACGTACTTATTTACGTGCGTACTATGAAATCCCTTTAATATCTCATTTCTTATTTTATGTTCGTGTCGAATTTATTAATCATATGATTTATATAAGTGTCGGCTTGTAAATTCACTCGGTTTGGAAGTCGGCTGAAATGACGTAAGTTTTGATTGTCTACGATCACTCATGTGAGAAGTATCAATCATATCTGATATGTATATCTGATATCGATATGTATACGTAGTATATATTACAATTTTGCCAAAAAAAAAAAAAAATTTTTTAATAAGATTTAATGTAGATCTAGCGCTAGTATTTAATTTCTTATATTAAAAACTACTTGTAGTTAAAAATTAAGGTTTAAAATAAAGTTTTATCATCTATTTATCATCTATTTATCATCTATATATTATATATATATATATATATATATATATATTTTAATATATATGTAATTATATATTTAAAATACAGTATACTTTATAGAATAATTTATAACATTATATATATGTTGTAGGTGGATTTGGAATTCTGTGAATTCAGAATCCACTTAAGTGGATTCCGAATCAACTTAAGTAGATTTTGAATCTCAAAACAACTTTAGTGGAAATAGAATTCTAAAGATAATAAAGAAATATGTAATTTTATAGCTAATAACGTTGTGTTATCATTATATATATACAGTGGCGATCATAAGTAATGGAGCACGTCTTAAATTTTATAATAAAACATAGTAACTATTGAAATTTTCACTC